GCCCGTAGGACACAACCTATTACACCTACCAATACTCGTACCATATTTCTACCCCGTCTCCATTTCTTTTCACCATTTTATCATGAGACTAATAATAATAATCACCTATTATGAGTAACGGCAAGTTAGTTACGCTACCGATAGCCCAAGCATAGCAGCTACTCGACCTACTAGTAGGACTCATAGGTATGTTATTTATGCATGTAGTTTCAATATAAATCCTGTAACGTAAATACACATCATATATATATATATATCCAGTGATCATTCAAAATAAGGGTTATGCATAGGGGCTTGCCTTGGGTAGGCGGGGTGTCAGCTAAGGCAGTCAGTGACGGCTCCGGGACCTCCTCCTCGTATTGCTCAATCACCTCCTCATACTCCTGCTCTCCGGCGGTCACAAACTCCACCAACTCGTTCTCTACATACATGCAATGATGATGCAACACTTAGTATTTTAGCAACAGTAGCTCTTAAAATAAGAATACACCTACTAATCTACCACGCTAACTCCAATAACTAAGATACTAAGCTAACTATCATCTTTACCAAGCAAAGTGTTAGGTTCAAATAACAAACACCTAGCTTTACAATTGAAGGATATATCTTTATTTCTACTAATGATTTAATGTATATTTGAAACAAAGAACATTTAACTACCCTTATGTTTAGTCTATTCTAAAGCTACAAAAATTACAGTGAGCACATAATAATACCACGATGCTGCTATAAAATTTTTAGGGCTAAAGCTATCACCAATTTACCCCAAAAATTTCTGCAATAATGCTCCTGACAATATTAAACATTTTTAAATGATTTAATAGCTCCTGGTATCAACATGCATATATATAAACTAAGTACACTAACAGATAAATCATAATTTTAGAAACTTAACATTGAATAACTACATTATTTTATATTAATTACCAAGGTTCAGCTCAGAAATAAAAATGAAAAACTATTTCTATTTTTCACGAAAAAGATAAACCGATTTCGGCCCAACGCAGCCCACGCGGGGCGCGCCCCGCGGCGGGGAGCCCTCGCGCGCTGGCACTCTTGCAAAAACGTCCTCGCGTTATCAGACAATAGCGCGAACACTATACGTACTATTTCTATAGACAACGACTTTGCAACGGAGCCATCGTATCTCGTCACCTTCGCACTGGAGAGGTCCCCGAGACGCCCCGCGCTCGTCGGCGCGGCGGGTGGTGGCACTAGGCGGTACGCTGGCCACTCGAGGCTCGCTCCGACCCAACTAACGAGCCGAACCCCATCTATGACCCTCACTCCTACCCTAAACGGCAATACGGAGCAACATGGTGCACTGGAGCGAGCTGCCAGCGCGTAGTCACCCACGACGGCGCCACGGTCATCCCGACGAGCTACAACGCTAACAGGACGTTAGAGATAGAGGATAAGCACCAGGGGCACACCGCGAACCCGGGCGAAGTGGTGGTTCGGCCGGTGACTACCTGAGCAGGGCTAGCCACGTGTGCGCGACGAGCATGGAGACGAGCCGCGGCGGACACGGCCGCGTCAGTGGCAGCGGGGAGGCGGTAGCGCTTCCACTGGCATGCGCACGGTGGAGAGGGACCCAAGACGAACTAGTGGTGCAGAGGAATTTGCGTGGGGTGAAGTGGTGGAAGCTGGCCACTACGCGGGCGGTGATGGGTCTTAACGGCACGGTGGCGGGCAAAGCTCCAAAATTAGAGCTCGGTTGAGCTGCAATCAAAGCGGGGTGGGGGCAGTCGGCGAGAGGACGTAAAGGCAGAGACGCGGACACGAGGAATTGATGAGATGAGAGGTGCTCGCTCTCTAGCTCACCGTGACCGTGACTAGACGGCGGCGGAAAACGGAGTGAAGGAAAGAGAGAGAAACAGGGCGCGACAGGTGGGCTCGGTTCGTCCTCGCCTTGGCGGGATGCGAGCGGCGCGAATAGGACACCCACGCGCAGGCGCTAAGGACAAGGCGTGCGCGCGTCCGACCGGCGTGGCCCACGCGCTACAGTGTCTTAAATGACATGGCGACGGCGTCTCGACCACGTGCGCGCGGCAGTGGCGCAGGGGTACAGCGGACAGGCGCGAACAAGACGACGATGCGACGGCAGCGGCAGCTTCGTGACGCGAGGCAGCAGTGGACGAATGTGACGACAGCGTAGCGCGGCCGCGGCGGCACCAATGGCGGCAGCGCGAGGCTGGGCAGCAGGGCGCGGGGCCAGCGACTCGCTGCGACCGGCCTCGGCCAAGCGCGGCGGTACTGGGTGACCGCGCGGGACACGGTCATGGGCGCGGCGCGGGGTGGCCGCGCACACAGCGCCACCATCCCGAGACATGTGACGTGCATGAAATTTAAAGCGCCCATAAAAACTAAACGGTTGCTTCTGGATCTAAACCATCTTCACCATGCTCAAAATGGCACATGAGACTACTAAATCGAGCTATAACACTACACTAACCCTTAACCCAATCTCTCAAAATAAATTGATAAATATAGCAATGTCTAGCTGTTGACAGACTTGGAAATTTTCTAAGTTTTGAACTGAACTTGATTTCAATTTGTAATTTCTAGGCTATTGAAAATATTACAAAGCAATATTATTTTTCAAAAGCAAGTATTTCATTGTCATCTACAAAATTTGTACTTCAAACTTTATTTAAGTATCACACACATGTTTTATAGTATTTTTGTTCAATAAAAATTAGTTTACACCCGTACTTGTTAACTGTACAACTCGCGGAGCAACTTCCGTTTTGCATTTTTGTTGATCGTTTTAATTGCAATGCATTATCTATGACATGTTTTAATAGATGATTTATAATGTAACGCCGAGGGTGTTACAGCTGCCACCAAAGGAGGAGGAGGAGGAGGAGCCACCGGCAGATCTATGAAGATGGAGGGGCTGCTTGGATCGCTGGCGTCGAAGACGAGGAAGGAAGGACTGATTTTTTTGTCGCGAGACTCGATTCCCTGTAATACCGAGGAGCAAGGCTCCGTATTGAGGGATGCGGCAAGCAAGTGCTGCGAATACCGGTTGGTATTGAACTCGATTTCCAATCCCAAATTCTAAACCATCCAAACAGTTGCATTCGGTGCTATTCAATACCAATTGCTGAATAGAAAATGCGCGTACGTAGGAGAACCGAGAACGGCAACTAGCCAGGCAAAGAGGGTACGGTGAGCTAGGGCGGTGCGATTGTTTCTGCTTCTGCTTGGTTTGTGTTGTTTTCTGAACATGTTTTCTTGGCGATGGCCGATGGCGACCTAAAATCTGCGCATCTCATCAGAAATTCATTGCAGGATGATGGGTGGATCATTAGTACGTAGTCTGATTTGCAGTTCGGACGTAAAGGCCCTCTTTAGTTTAAAAAATTTTCACCCTAAAGTGTCACATCGAATCTTACGGTACATGTATGGAGTACTAAATGTAGACGAAAAAAAAACTAATTACACAGTTGGGTGAAAAATCGCGAGACGAAACTTTCGAACCTAATTAGTTCATAATTAGACACTAATTACCAAATACAAACGAAAGTGCCACGGTAGCCAAAACCAAATTTTTTCGCTAACTAAATGCGCCCAAAGTTTTGGAAACCCGTGTGCAGGCGGCTATGCAAAATTACCGTCTTCGGCATCGTCTCTCGGCTCTCCGCTACTGGACGTCTTGGAGCTGCAGCAGGAATTGAAAGCGACCATTGTTGGCTCGGTGAAGTGGATTAGATTGCTCATGCACTGTGAACCGTGTTAGTCTGCTGCTCATCGATGGCGAAGTGAGTCGCACGCTGGAACTGAAGTAGTATTATGAGTGTACAAGCCCTGTTCGTTATTGGTCGGTGCTGGTGCTGGTTTGAACTGGCTGGTGCTAATTTTTTTAGAAGAAAACACTATTGGTTAGCTGGTTTGGGCTGGCTGAAACCAACAAACGAACAGGCTGTATATGTCAAATCAATGGCTATAGCTGATTGATCTCCCTCGCTATGAAACCACTCCTTGTCATAGTCGTCCTTGACCTAGACCAAGTTTAATGACAGGCAACTAATCGCGGAACAGTGTGGGGCTGTCCATGTATAATTTGGCTCAAGTTATGGTCCACTGATTCTTGGGCCTTGAGTTTGAAATATTACCAGTCCTCTCTAGCAGCATGCAACGACCCAACTCAGGCCCGGCGTTCATATGCTACTCTAAAGAAACGTTGTCGGGCTGAATCTGTCCGTTTCAGAATTATCAGCCCACAATACTCGCTCGACGATAACTCCCCGGCTCCCGAAGATTGGCGGGCTCCCGGACTACTTGGACTCATCTCCTCATCCGTCATTTATTTTTCTCAGCGTTTCCACAGGGTCGCTCAAAACCGCGTTACCCTCCTCCAAGCAGGAAAGAAATAAAAACGCGTTCGTTTGGGTCGCCTCGGCAGTCGCCGTTGCGTGCTCGGTACCCTACTCACGAAACCACAAATTGCCATGCTACATCTCTAGATAGATCTCAGATATAGGCACTAGTTTCCTTAAACGTGTCATCACGCGCCTGAGCTTCCTAAAACCAAAACGGGAGATAGAGTGATTTTGTGCGGTTTTTGACGAAACCTTCACTTGTCCGCTTAAACCCTCCTCGCAGACTTGCAGCGGTGGGCTCGTGTGGCCTGTCCGGCTCCGGCAAGTGGCGCCTTTCGACGCGCAGATTTGCACGCCACGCCGCACCTAGATCTCATCGAGTCCAGTTCTGAGATTTTCCTCGCGTCCTCTCCGGCCTTCCGCTTCCGCTGCCTTCTCCCCCCAACTCGCTCACTGCTCCTCCTTTCCTCTCCCCGCCCACAGCTCGAACGCCACCACCTCCGTTGCACACGCCTCCGCGCGCCCGCGGCGTTCGAAACCCTAGCGCCGATCCCCGTCGCCAGTCGATCGCAGACGCTTGGACGGGCTCGGGGCCCATGACGAGCCGCCTCTGAGCGCGCAAAAGGCAAGACTGCTGGGTGTCGTCTAGCTAGATCCGAGGGGCTTCCGCCGATGGCGAGGGCGGAGTCCAACTGGGAGCGGCTGGTTCGCGCGGCGCTGCGCGGGGAGCGGCTCGTCGGTGCCTACGGGCAGCCGGTCACCGGCATAGCCGGGAACGTGCCGTCGTCGCTCGGCAACAACGTGCACATCGAGGAGGTGCTCCGCGCCGCCGACGAGATCCAGGATGAAGACCCCACCGTCGCCAGGATCCGTAAGTCTCGCTACCATTTCTGTCCCGCTGAGCTCGGGAGCAGTGCGTGCCCGACTGCCCGTTGCTACGGATTTGGTCATCGCTCATTCTTGTTGCTGACTAGCTGTCCCTCCCTTGTTCTAGTAGCGGTTAGACTGCTTCGTTATGCTGGTTCTCTAGTTTTTGGCATAACTCTGGACAATTATGCTTCACTTCAAACCTGGTCACTTGTGTCACGTTATTGAAGTTGGCAGATAGTTTGGTTAAGCCAACATTGTCTATTAGTGAAATAGTGACTAGAATTTTATGATTTTTCATATAAATCTATGAATATCTGGCATGGCGTGTGGTTTGCTTCTTCTAGAGTAATTTCCCCTCCAGCTTATTCATGCATCGGGTGCCTGTGATGACACTGGGCTTTTGTTTGCCTACATTGCTCATGTTGCCTGCTAGCATATTCTCTCTGTAATTAGCTGCCACTGTTTTAGAATCATGGCTAGGCTAGTTTTAGTTGTATGCATAGTTTAAAAGGCGGTTAGGCGTCCAGGCGAGTGCTTGGTACGCCTGGACGCCTAGGCCACAAGGCGCCACTGTTTCCCAGGCGAGCTGGGTACGCCTGGATGCCTAGGCGACGCCTTGAAAACTATGGTTGTATGCATTTAGCTTAGTTGGACCTTGGCACCTTGCTGATGTTATGTATCTAGCAGGTAATTTAGTTCAATGCATCAGTAGTTCTCTGAATTTAGATGCCTGTATCATTGATTATACTTTTGGACATCATTCCAGTTTCCATATTCTGCTTAGTTCATCCTTTGAACAGTACTGTGGTACTCCACTACAGAAAATCAAACTTCCACCAAATCAAAGGATAATGATTAAATAAATTCGTTCAGATTTCTGCAACTAAGTTATATTACACGTTACACCAATTCTGTTGTTTTATTTCGACCTGTCTAATAAAATTAGGAAAAATGTTGTTTTATGCCGCTTAGCCAGGTTCCTATCGTTTGCCGATTGCCACTTTGTTCTTCAACAGGGTCCTTGGTTATGTCAATGTATGGTGACGAACTGATGACAAAAGCCAACACTGAAATACAGTTCGGTTTTAAAATGGAATATTTTACAATCGAAACAGGCAGTGTGCAACTTGGTTTGATCTGGTAACGTTTATGTTTGTACTTCGTGCAGTTTGTGAGCATGCTTACACGCTAGCCCAGAGTTTGGATCCCAACAGTGAAGGGAGAGGAGTATTGCAGTTCAAAACCGGTTTAATGTCAGTGATCAGGGTATGTCCATTTCACTTACACATCTTATGTGACTTTATACTTTAAGATGTCCTTTTTGAACTTCTACAGTATTGGAGAAAAAACTTCCATTTTTCATATTTTGTTGGTAAAGACCATAGAAATCTATCACCATGAATCCATGCCTTTTTTGTATGTGAATCTTTTACTATTATTTTTATAAGGCCATTCTAGATGTTTTTACCTGTTACTGGTAACAATGATGAATGTTTTGCTGCATGATTTAAAATGACAGATGCTTATGAACATAGGGAGTATTTAACAATTTGATAATATGTCCTTGTAGTAGATTGTCTACATTCCATTGTGATTGCTGCTATTTCGTTTAAGCCTTGAAGCCCTTTATGCTGTATCGTATAATAATGCCTTGGGGTCATCCCACATCCCAGTCACACCACAGTACCACACCATATCAATTTGCACCATAGATGACATATTATTCTAAATTAGACCTTCGGAACTTTAGGTATATTTTTTTAACAGTACTTGCTGGTTTATGAATTTAGCAAAAACTAGTGAAGAGGGAAGGTGTTGCTATTGACCGAAGTCAGGATATTGCTAAATTGCAAGAATTTTACAAGCTTTATAGAGAAAAGAATAAAGTGGATGAGTTGATTGAAGATGAAATGAAGCTGAGGGAATCAGCTGTGTTCAGCGGTAACCTTGGAGAGTAAGTTTTTCTCTGCAGTTTAATGAACACACTGCATTTACTTTCTGTAAAAAACTTACAAAATCCTAGTACTTCATTACCTTTTGTGCCATGTTGTTAAGCGTAACATAAATAAATTTGTGTCACTGGATGATGTTCCCTGTCTGCATTTTTTTTGAACAGGCTGGAACGGAAAACCAGGAAGCGCAAAAAAGTACTTGCGACTTTGAAGGTCTTATGGTCAGTAATAGAGGATATGACAAAGGAAATATCACCGGAGGATGCAAAAAATTTGATATCTGAAGAGGTTTGAATTCTTATCCTTGATATTTAGTTGTTTGTACTTGATTTCAGAAAATTGGAAAAAAATACAGCTTCTTGGTCATATCTATAGATATTGTGTTGAGCAGTTTGTCAAAAAGAGAATCAACACATGGATAGTTGTGGGTGCAATTGTTCATTTCTGATCTGCAACCTGCAACTATTGATGTGCTGATTTCTCTTTTTTGTTCTGTTTCAAATTTTGTATGCGCAAGATGATTGTATCCTCTATCTGTTCATATTTTAATCATAATTTTTCATGCACGTGTTTAGATGCTACCGTGATTGGTAACACGCAGCACTGTAACCTGCGGTTGGTAGCACTCTAGTTTTCTCTACTAGCCATAAGAAGGCAATACCAATCTTCCAAGATTTGCTAAAACTCCAATTCTGTCAAGAGCTTCTATGTGTATGTATGCAGATATCACCAAAGACTTGCTCAGAAGATGATCTTCTGGAGTTCTGGTTACACTGAAATTTACCAAACACATGCCCTAACGTTCTGATCCTCCATATGCATTGAGCTCTCTTTCATAAAGAAATAACAGCATGATGGGTTTGACAAGCTAAATGTTTTATCTAAGGTATAAAGGTGTGCCTGAAACACAAGTATTAAGGATATGCTCCTTACAGAAACCATATTATAATTTTGGTTTGCATGCATCCAGACTTGATTTGCTATGAGTCAAGTATCAAGTGTCAAGCATCTAGATTGGCATCTAAAAGCGCGATAGCAGATTGTCGTTGAAGCTACCTTAAATCTTAATGTGCCTGAATCATAATATGGATTTGTATCTTTGAGATGCTGAAAAGTAGAGAATGGCACTGCAGTTTTATTTCTCACCTTGCCGCTACGTTTCCTCTCTAGAATAGTGTGCTGAGTGCAGATGATGTAGATTGTTGGCAAGCTCTTTAATTATCTGTCTTTTAGTGTTATGTCAATGATCTTCTTGTGACAAATCGCACCGTTGAGTAAGTTGCGTACAAAATCTAAGTGACTGTTTGATATCTTCTGGTTATGAACTTATGTTCCTTCAAATTCAACCCTTTGAATATAATCATGACCAGTACGGGGTCTCACCTTTTGTTATCAATTTATTTATTTATTCTGTTTTGGTCAGATGAAAAAGGTCATGCAAAAGGACGCAGCAAGGACGGAGGATTTTGTTCCATATAATATTATTCCTCTAGATTCCTTGACTTCTACCACTAATGCAATTGTGAATTTTCCGGAGGTAATAGTTCAGAGTAAGGTATTTTTTTATTGCCAATTTGCTGGATCTGGAGGTGGCTATATACATATGAATTGTTTCAATTCAGGTGAGGGCAGCAATATCAACTCTGCAGTACCATAGGGATCTGCCCAGGCTTCCTGGTACCTTTTCAGTCCCTGATGCTAGGAATTCGGATATCCTGGATCTTTTACAATGTGTATTTGGTTTTCAGGTTAGTGTTTATGAGGTGCATATTTCATATCAATCTTCATATGCTTGTTCCAGGCTGATAACTACTGTAATCGTATTACAGTGGAACATGCACATTTTGTAATACTGCTACGGTAATAGATGAGAAGTGTTAGTTGCCAACCTAAGTGATAAAAAGTCTGAATAGATTTGCTGATCTTCATGGCCAATTATATGATCGGATTTCTTCATAAGTAAATCTGCATATTTGCTACTACGTTTTTAAGTCTTGTTGCAAATTGCAAAACAGGTATTATCGGTCACGGCCTACATACAAACTATATTAAGAAAGTGCAGCTTGTCCAATTCCTTATTGTCTCTATTTTGCTTCCTAACCTTGACTGTATAATCTGTGTCATGCTTCTAAGGTTTATATGAAAGAAAGGTGTAAAAAACGATGTGAAGTATGGTCTCTGAACTTTTAATCGTATAATTAATGTATGGTTGATCTTTTAACTGTAGGCAGGCACCAGCCAGTTAGCTAGCTGAGTCCTTTTGGGTGATCATAGACATGCTAAAGATCCAGATTCATTAAGTTGAACAGTAGAGGAAGGAGCCCTAATAGTGGTAAAATAATATGAATAGAAATTCTATATGCTTCATGAATTTTGAGCCCATTCATAGATGACATGTAATTTATTGTGAATTTGAGCCCATTCATAGGAGCATCTTTGGTCATTGTTCAACAGATGGAGTCAGATGGTAGGAAAGCAATGCCATTACATGGCATTCACTCATACATCATTATTCATGCTCTATTTCAAATTATGTAAATATATATCCTTGTGCAGTTATAACTTTGCTATGCTGTCTTACTTTATCTAGCAATATTTTGAAGCCTTGTTGGCTTTGTGGAAATAAGCTATAACCCTTCTTCATTGTTGCAGGAGGATAATGTGAAAAACCAAAGAGAGCATATCATTCATCTATTGGCAAATGAACAATCTCGTGTGGGAAAACTATCAGGGAACGAACCGGTATTTGTTTGTTTGACATTATTTTTATTATGTATCATAATTTTGGACATGATTAGTGCTATTTTTTTAAATAACAACAATAGCTTGCCATGTTAGCAATAATTTAGCATTTTTCTGGTATTCTTTTTTCTTGAGTTATGGTCCCTTTCTTTACGTTTGTAATATGCCTAAAAGTTCAGTTAGTGGCTCTTTTCTGAGTTTTTTTTAATTGAAAAGCTTATCTGTTATCTATTTAAATTTCTACTTCTGTGCTGGCCATTAGCCTATGTGATGAACGCATTGATGATAGTTAGGACTGAACAGACCGAGCGGAGGCTCGAGTGGCTAGCGGCGGCAGTGCCATGCTGCCGGCGCGGGTTCGGTTCCTGGAATCGAACTCGCGTCTCTCACCCGGACTCGCTCCCAAATAAAATCTACAGCCTCTCTCGCGCAGTGCCACAAAGGGACTGCGATGTTCCTGTCGACTACGAAGCTACGATGATTTCGGTGATCTCTAGAAGGACGCGATCTTCTATTCTGTGTGTAGTTGTAGGTCTAGTCGTGCACGTGTGGTGTGAGTGTGGTGCGCGTGGATGCGTGCGTGTGTGTGCATGAACATATGCTACAATTGTACTCAGATGAGAGGCTTCAAAAAAATAGTTAGGGCTGAAAGCAGAAATGGATGATCCCATTTACTGGGAATCGTTTCCATAAACATGATGTCGTTTATGGCTTTTCGACCATTACCGACCGACCAGGAATCGTTTTCTGTATAAAAGATATCGTTACTGACTGTTTTCAGCCCTAATGATAGTTCTGTTCAGTTTGCTAATCATGTGAAATCTAAAAATGACATTCTAAACTGTAATGACAGAGGCAGCTATGTTTATATCCTGATATTCACGGTTGAGTTATTATTTGGCTGTGCTTTCCAAGCAATATGTTTTATTTGTTACAGGCTTATGCTGATTGTGATTTGCAGCTGTTTGAGTTTTAATATTAATGATACACTGAAGTTCCATGATCAGATTTGCTGATCCTCTAGATATAGAAAGGATGCTCATAGTAAAAAGTATAACGTGATCGTCAAGTGTTTGCCCGCTACAACATAGTATTCAGTACACTCTAAAAAAACATAGTACTCAGTACCCACTAATTTCTTTTGCCTGATCATCAATGTTGCTACAGTATCTACCATTCAAATTCAGAGATTTATCTTTGTCCTTTTTTAGAAAATACACTGCTTTGGCAACAGTTTAATGTGATCAGTTACCAGGTTCTGCCCCAAGATATTTATCTCTGTATTGCTTGAAGTTGTTCACACCTGTATCTTTACCAGTATTTTTGTTTCTATACAGAAAATTGATGAGGGTGCCGTGCATGCTGTGTTTTCTAAAGCTCTTGATAACTATATCAAATGGTGCAACTATCTGCCCCTTCGTCCTGTCTGGGATAAGTATGTATTTTTTAATATACTTTGCTCTTATCTACTGAACTCCGTATCAACACCTCATTTGATTTTAAGATATTGCATGGTTTTCTTTTAGCACTGATTCATTGACAAAGGAAAAGAAGTTGCTATATGTGTGTTTGTACTACTTGATGTGGGGAGAAGCTGCCAACGTGCGATTTATTCCAGAGGGCTTATGCTACATATTTCATCATGTAAGTCTGTATGATTCTAATAAAGTTACCTATTATGTTCTTTCATGCTGCATGATTTTCCTTTATTTTTCTGTTTTTGTGTGAAAATGTTACTCCATGAGCTGTTTTTTTTCAGTGACACACACCAGTATGGCATATGTCCCTTTCTCATGTCGCTGTGGCTAGAGTTATGCTCATGCCTCAGTGTAACGGACACATAAGTTTGAAACTATTTTTGCTGTGGGTGTGTGTGCTTTTGCAGGGTCCTTACCCCGTCTCTTCTTAAAATAATGATATGTGAGGATTGTAGGAGATGTTCTATGTGAGAGGGAGGAACTAGTTAGAGGGTGCTATGCTTCAGACCCAAATAAAATATGATAAAGAGCTATTCCATCATGGTTACTCCATGTTCACAGTATGCAACTATGCAATCAAAATGATGAACCCAAATCCCAGTTTTTGAAGTTTGCCTTGCCGGATACCAATGTCTGGGTTGGATTCCAACATGTGTTGGCTGCTACTAAAGACCTTAACATTTGTTTTCTGTTTCAATTTTGCAGCTAGCAAGAGAATTAGGGGAGATTCTGCGAAAACAAACTGCAGAGCCAGCTGAAAGCTGTAGTTCTGGTGGTGTCGTGTCGTTTCTTGACAAAGTCATTTATCCTTTGTATGAAATCATTGCAGCGGTAAGTGTGCCTGCTGGTGAGCTAATATCACTCGTTATTTTTGGTTCTATATGGTTTTCTTAATGTTGAATGTGTTGATTCTGCTGCAGGAAGCAGCCAATAATAAAAATGGGCGTGCACCACATTCTGAATGGAGAAATTATGATGATTTCAATGAGTTTTTCTGGTATAAGCAAATCGATCAGGTTACTTTTGTTTGTCGATTTGTTTATATTTCTCATAATCTTTTGACGGTTTCTTCTAGGTCTCATAAGTGCTTTAACCTAGGATGGCCTTGGAAGCTGAGCGACCCATTTTTCTCGAAGCCCAGTAGGAAGGATAAGGTTGTTTTTTTTATATTAATCATAATCACAATTATTTTGATCTTTCAGTATCTGTCACCAAATCGATATTTTTATATTTGTAAGTAATACGTTTTGTGCTTCTTGACCAAATGACCATCATACCATGTTGCCAACAATGAGATAAGGCCCATTTTCACTTTAACCAAGCTTCAGTATAGGCTTACAAAACTGCTTCTATTTCTTGCGAATTGTTTGTCTGTTTTGCTTACAAGATGCGCATTTGGTTTTCCAGGGCTTGCTAGGTAGGAATCATCACTACGGAAAGACATCTTTTGTGGAACATAGGACTTTTCTTCATCTTTACCACAGCTTTCATCGCCTTTGGATGTTCCTTATTATGATGTTTCAGGTGAATGCAAACTCTAGTCATGCTACCATTATTCCTTATTTTGTTTGGGATTGAGTACCCGCTGGTTTAAGGAATTCTTAGTTTGGTTTTATTCCATGTGTTGAGTTGCTAGATGAACAATAACACAATTAAGTTTTTTGGCCACCCCCATCTCTAAAAACACAAAGTTTTCTCCAAATTCATGTTCTCGCATGATAACTGTTTTTACCGCCCTTGGACGTGGCACTCTATGAAGTTAGTAGCAATGCACCCCTTTAATTCCCTTGGGCGTGGCACACTATAATGTCTTCCATCAGATTCTTGCATCACCGCCAGTGGCGGAGCTCATCAGTTGCCACGCCTAGGGCCACTGCCTCTCCTCCCTCTTTGCTGGGCCGGGAGTTGACAAGATTTGGCCCAAAACAACATATAGTATAAGGGGGATTTTGGGCCACGCCTAGGGCCATGGCCCTAGTGGCCCTAGGCCCAAATCCGCCACTGATCACCGCTACACCTGGGTATTCAATAATAGACTGGTCCTGGGTGGCTTTTCCAATACTTAAAACAAATTGATGTTAGACCGATGCATACTTTCTTGTATGGAGTTTATTAATAAAGACCTTAACTTGTCGGTGGTTTTATTGCTTAAAGCAAATAATGGCTTGTATTTTGGGACCTTTTGCACGGGAAAGAGAGAATTTAGCTGGACATTGTTGTTGTTTTGTTTCTTGGCACAAAAGTATTTATCAATGATTTATTTATGTTCCATGATTGTATATTGCTTCGCTATGAGCGAGCATGTTTCCATCTATGTACAGGTTTGACTTTGTATGTTACAACCCGTACTGAAAATTTACCATAAACATCTTAAAATTGATGTTTACCTGTAGATGTGTTGACTTCTTTTGTCCTTATATGGCCATGAGAATGAATTCTGTCTTTTTTATTATTTTCAGTATGATGTATCATTAGGTGCTTTATATTGCCTTCTTTAATGTTTTTATACATTTGGTTTGGTGTAACCTATGTGTGGTTCTATTTGTGTTGATGCAGGGACTAACTATCATTGCTTTCAATGATGGTAGTTTTGACAGGAAGACCATATTGCAACTTCTTAGTCTGGGTCCTACTTATGTTGTAATGAAATTTATTGAGAGTGAGCACAGATCTTTTCCCTACTGTAATATGATGATTTGTGTAAATTGTCCTGATGGCTAATTTCTTTTGTTACCTTTTGTTACTGCGAAGGTCTGTTGGATATTCTAATGATGTATGGTGCCTATTCAACGTCTCGTCGATCTGCAATCACCAGAGTGGCATGGCGATTCTGCTGGTTTACTGTAGCTTCAGTTGCGATTTGCTACCTATATATGTATGTTTTTAAATCCATTTGTGATATCTGAAAATTTTCTTTCTTACCCTATAAATTAAAAAGGGTTCACTTAAATGAAAGACTGTCTTGAAGGTCATTTATCATATGGTAATGACACATGTTGAGGCCTTGAAACACGAAGGGGCAACAAATACCACATTTGCCTTTTTTACATGGTTCGGGATGAATTTTGGAAACCATAAAATATTTCAATCCTGATATTCGGCGGGTAACACTTTCTAATGTCATTCAAAAGTTATAATTCTGAAGTCGTCTGTCTTATCCAATATGATTTTTTACTGGCTTGGTTGAAATATGGTCAATTCTGATACTTGGCACATGCTATGTGCTATTTACAGTTTTCAGTCATATTGCCAAAGATTCACTATTAATACTAGTAATAAAGTCGAAGTGCTAAGTGGTAAAATTTGACGATGAATTTGATTTTTTTTGAAAAGCTGTAGAACTGATGAGTTTAAATTTACCTGTGGTCAACTGTAGAATAGTTATAGTTGGCCGCTCAACTTAATCATGAAGTGAAATTATCTGGTCCCAACTCAGCACTTGATATTTAAGTGAACCTTTTGTCCTGGAGAATTGCTAGATGAAATTCTAATAGTCTGATCATTTTCTAGCAAGGCACTTCAAGATGGCACAGAGTCAGCAATATTCAAGATATATGTTTTTGTAATCAGTGCATATGTGGGCGCTAAGATAATTATCAGCCTACTTACGAGTGTCCCTTGTTGCCATGGTTTGGCTGAGGCTTGCTATCGCTGGTCTGCTGTACGCCTTGTTAAGTGGATGCATCAGGTCTTGTCCTTCTTTAGCACATTCTGACTTCTTATCTTTTGAAATCTTTGTATGCGATGTCTTCTGCTAAGAATATCTGACATTTTATTTTTTTGAAGGAGAATAATTATGTTGGAAGAGACATGCATGAGAGTGCCCTTGACTTTATCAAGTAACTGTAGAACTTTGAAACATAATTCTGTGATCCAGCTCACAAACTGGAAGTTCTTAATTATTTACTATATTTACTGTGCAGATACGCCACTTTCTGGATTGCAATTCTTGGTGCAAAGTTTTCATTCACCTATTTTCTCCAGGAAAGCATAGTTTTTCATTTTTAACAATTCATAGTTATTGACCTTTGGACCTAAAACATTGGCCTTTATTATGCAGATAAAACCTCTTATAAAACCAACAAGAACTATAATCAATTTCAGAGGCCTGCAGTATGCTTGGCATGACTTTGTCTCAAAGAGTATGGATACATTACTTTTTTTCCACAAATGTCACCATGATATATTTTTTTCCTGTCCACACCCTCTGATCCTATAAAATTTCATTATTGTGTATTTGGAAATTGTTCCTTTCAGAACTTTGAGAAGTGTCTATCTGTTTCTAAATATTTATGATTAAATGTGTGTAATCGAATTGTTCTTACAATGCTTGCAGATAATCATAATGCTCTTACAATCCTTTCTTTATGGGCTCCAGTGCTGTCAGTAAGTAACCTTTGGTTGCTTCTAGTTCTAGCTCTCTTAACTCCTTTAATGTGTCAGAATCACAGGCACAATATGCAAACAAACTATGATTGTTGAAAAATTAACATTAGATATCTCTAGACGAAATTGTCGTAAGCTCATTATAAAATAATGAGTCGACTTCTGTCTAGTTTCTCTTGATCACATTTGAAAAGCATTCGTTTATGCAGATTTACCTTTTGGACATTCATGTATTCTACACTGTATTGTCTGCTATTTATGGATTTCTCCTTGGTGCACGCGATCGCTTGGGAGAGGTTAGCTCCATAAACTTTAGCCTTGAACTACTGTCAGACTATCCATGAAGTTGCTTCTGGCTGATCTATCAACCTTATCACTTTAGATTGTTAATATTATGCAATCTCATTTCTTGTTTAGCCGTTTGTCATACTTCTCAAATATAGATTTTTAATGCTTCGATGCTTGCACAATGCACGCTATGCCTGCAAGATGTAAGACAACGGCTAAGTGCATTTGATTACGCGAATATAGTTTTTTTATATAGTTTTGATAACATCAAAACACTAAACCGAATTGCAAAACATTTATTGGATCTGTGTTAAGGTTGGGTATTCCTCCAGTGGAATGTACTTTATTATTCTCTACTCCCTCCGTCCCATAATAAGTGCACTTTTAGCATTCAAAAGTTGTTCCATGATAAGTGCACTTCTAGGTATGGGATCACCTAGCTCTAGTAGGCTTTACTACTTTCTCTATTCCCCAACAACAATAACAACAACAAAGCCTTTAAGTCCCAAACAAGTTGGGGTAGGCTAGAGTTGAAACCCAGCAGAAGCAATCAAGGTTCAGGCACGTGAATAGCTGTTTTCCAAGCACTCCTATCTAAGGCTAAGTCTTTGGTTATATTCCATCCTTTCAAGTCTCCTTTTATTGCCTCTACCCAAGTCAACTTCGGTCTTCCTCTGTGTCTCTTCACGTTACTATTTTGGCTTAGGATTCCACTACGCACTGGTGCCTCTGGAGGTCTCCGTTGGACATGTCCAAACCATCTCAACCGGTGTTGGACAAGCTTTTCTTCAATTGGTGCTACCCCTAATCTATCACGTATATCATCGTTCCGAACTCGATCCCTTCTTGTATGACCGCAAATCCAACGCAACATACGCATTTCCGCGACACTTATCTGTTGAACATGTCGTCTTTTCGTAGGCCAACATTCTGCACCATACAACATAGCAGGTCTAATCGCTGTCCTATAAAACTTGCCTTTTAGCTTCTGTGGTACCCTTTTGTCACATAGGACACCAGATGCTTGGCGCCACTTCATCCACCCTGTTTTAATTCTATGGCTAACATCTTCATCAATATCTCCTTCTCTCTGTAGCATTGATCCTAAATATCGAAAGGTAGTCTTCCTAGGCACTACTTGACCTTCCAAATTAATATCTTCCTCCTCTCGAGTAGTAGTGCCGAAGTCACATCTCATATACTCAGTTTTAGTTCTACTGAGTCTAAAACCTTTGGACTCCAAAGTCTCCCGCCATAACTCCAGTTTCTGATTCACTCCTGTCCGACTTTCATCAACTAGCACTACATCGTCCGCGAAAAGCATACACCAAGGGATGTCCCCTTGTATGCCCCTTGTAACTTCATCCATCACTAAGGCCAACAGATAAGGGCTCAAAGCTGACCCTTGATGTAGTCCTATCCTAATCGGGAAGTCATCCGTGTCTCCATCACTTGTTCGAATACTAGTTACAACATTATTGTACATGTCCTTAATGAGCCCGATGTACTTCGTTGGGACTTATGTTTGTCCAAAGCCCACCACATAACATTCCTTGGTATTTTATCATAAGCCTTCTCCAAGTCAATAAAAGCCATGTGTAGGTCCTTCTCCCTATACCGCTCCATAACTTGTCTTATTAAGAAAATGGCTTCCATGGTTGACCTTCCGGGCATGAAACCAAATTGGTTCATAGAGACCCGCGTTATTGCTCTCAAGCGATGCTCGATAACTCTCTCCCATAGCTTCACAGTATGACTCATCAACTTAATTCCCCGGTAATTAGTACAACTTTGAATATCCCCTTTATTTTTGTAGATCGGTACAAATATACTTCTTCTCCACTCGTCAGGCATCTTGTTCGATCGAAAAATATGGTTGAACAGCTTGGTTAGCCATACTATAGCTATATGTCCCCGAGGCATCTCCACACCTCGATTGGGATACCATCCGGTCCCATCGCCTTACCTCCTTTCATCCTTTTCAACGCCTCTCTGACCTCAGATTCTTGGATTCTCCGCACAAAGCGTCTATTGGTGTCATCAAAAGAGTCATCCAACTGAAAGGTTGTGTCCGTATTCTCACCATTGAACAATTTGTCAGGGGTATATTACATGCTTGCATAACTTATGTCAGGGGTATATATGTAATTTCTGAGTAACATTGATTTCAGTAACAAATCCTAGAAGTGCATTTATTTTGGGAGGAGGGAATTGTTGTTTTAGACTCCAACGCTTGAACAACGTGGCAGTCACTTCCTCTTTGTACGACGATTTACCTCTCGTCGCTGTTTCCACCTCCAGTTAATGGCACACAGTCCACTCCACCATACCATACCCATTCAAGTCCAAGTACCAGTTCCTATTTGCCTTTCGCTGGGGTTCTTTGGGAAAAAAGTACCTTGGAATGGAAATATAAAAGAACATGTATTTGTTTGTTAGTTAATCTATGCTGTCTGGTATTTTTATTTGTGTTTACAGATTAGTAATGTCGAGGCAGTACATAGATTCTTTGAGAAGTTTCCTAGAGAATTCATGCATAGACTTCATGTTGCTGTTCCAAAAAGGTTTGTGATGTCCTCCTAGTTTCTTGTTTATCTTCTTTGTTTTCATAATCTAAAGCTGGTTTTCATCCTTTATACAGGAAGCAACTGCTATCTTCTGGTCAGGTATGAGTCGTCATTGTTATGGAACTTCTTTGTATATTGATTTTGACCTCTGAGTAGCTGTACATTTTGATCCAATTTTTTTCAATCTTTTCGGGGATCTGGGATATAGCACAATACTTGTTTGAATTATTTATTTGTATGTATAAATAATGTATGCCATTCTTTGTTGTTATTTTCAAAGAGTTGACACTGGAGGCATCAAATTTTCCAGGAAACAGAATTAAACAAGTTTGATGCATCTAGATTCTCCCCCTTCTGGAATGAAATCGTGAGGAATTTACGGGAAGAGGATTATATTAACAATTTGTAAGTATTTCTTCCTATGCTACTATGATACAGTTTTCTTGACTGCCACATGTCGATATAGTTTGACTGTTATCCTATTTGCAGTGAATTAGAATTGCTTTTGATGCCCAAAAATGACGTTGAAGTGCTTCCGATTGTGCAGTGGCCACTTTTCTTGCTTGCTAGCAAGGTCAAAAATCGAAAACAACTTTAACTGTTTTAAAAGTTTTCCCTTGCTTGATTCACAAGTTTTGTTTCCATTCTGTTTCTTCAATCAGCACCTCCCCTTTCCAATTTGTAGGTTTTCTTGGCCAAAGAGATTGCAGAGGACTGCAAAGAAGCCAAAGATTCACAAGAAGAACTTTGGCTAAGGATATTGAAGGATGAATACATGCAATATGCTGTTGTAGAGTGCTTCCATAGCATTTATCATATTCTGACGTCTATACTAGAGAAAGAAGGACGCCTCTGGTAATTAGTGTTACTATTGTGCTTATTAATGCTATTTTTTTTTATTCTTCTACATCATATTGGTTGGTGGACCTTGTTAGGTTTATCTCTAGCCTGCTCCAACTTGCTTGGGACTGAAAGGCTTTGTTTTTATTGCTGTTGTTTCATTTCACCTCATAAATTTGACAGATTTTTTTATGTTGCTTTGTTATTTGGAAAATTTAGGGTGGAAAGGATTTATGGTGGTATCCGAGACAGCATTTCAAACAGGACCATCCAAAGTGATCTTCATTTCAAAAAGTTGCCTAATGTTATTGCCAAGCTTGTTGCTGTATTGGGAATACTGGTATGTATGATGTTTTGGTATTTATTTTTAGGGCGGTTAATTTGTATTTCCTTGGCTTATTTACTATGCGATCACCTTATTGGTGAGCCAATTCTCAAACTTAGCTACAGGATCACCGTATTCATGAGTCAAATCTCAAATTTGGCTTCCCTTCTTTACGATGTTAAATTCTCTTTAGAAACTATATTGCTTTCTACCTTTTCACTAGAATATACTAGAGTAAAGAAGTGATCCATGATACCGAAACTATATTGCTTTCTACCTTTTTACTAGAATATACTAGAGTAAAATGGTGATCCATGATACTGTCAAATTTATGCCAAAACCTCCTAGACCCTAACCACAGCCGTTTTCACCTTGCCCTAGCAGTCTGTTAGTGGCAAAATTTTCCTTCTGATGTAAAGTATGCTGTATATGTCAGATGTAACTTGCGTTTTCACTAATTGAACATTTTATTTTGGATGGTTCATGTGTGTGTGTATTAACTATGAAAACACTGTTTTGTAGCGAGGTACGACAGAGTCCAGTGATCTGAAAAAAGGTTTGGTTAATGCTATTCAAGACCTATATGATGTTGTTCATCATGAAGCGTTTTCTGTTAATATGAGGTCTGCCGTTTGTCTGTAGTTTTTCTAACTTATTCTCAGATTTTTGTGCCCTTATAAATTCGCTTTGCTAAAGTCCTTTGTTTATAAATGTTAGTGGCCACATTGAAGACTGGGATCAAATTAATTTAGCAAGGGCTGAAGGTCGCCTCTTCAATAAACTCAAGTGGCCAAATGATCCCAAATTGGTATTTTCTAAGTATTGGATGCACATTTTGTTGTTGTTTCTTTATTTTCTTGGTAGTCCGCATTTTTCTTTAGCCATCAGTCTGATCTATGCTTTGGTAATCTATCCAGAAGGACTTGATCAAGCGATTGTATTCGCTTCTGACAATTAAAGAATCAGCAGCAACTGTCCCTAAAAATTTAGAAGCCAGGCGGAGACTTCAGTTCTTTATGAACTCTCTGTTCATGAAAATGCCTCTTGCACGGCCTGTTTCAGAAATGGTCTCCTTTAGGTGGGGCTCCTTTAGTCCTTTTACTTGTTTATTTAGTTGTGGACTTGTCACTTCTGTTTTGGTTGAAATTTGATTATTTGTTTTATGCAATTTTTTCCTGGTTCTGCTGTTCAGTTATACTATTTTCTTACATTCTGTGTTTTCATTTTTTGTTATGCAGTGTGTTTACTCCATATTACTCTGAGATTGTTCTCTACAGCATGGCTGAACTGCAGAAGAAAAACGAAGATGGTATAACTACACTGTTTTATCTCCAGAAGATTTACCCAGGTTCTGGTCTTTACTTCTTTCCCATTTCCATGAGCGCTGAAAGGAATACCTATATTCTCTATAGTGTAACCTTTTCTTGTGATCCTTTGGTTATATCTGTTATCCTGTTGTGATATGTATGTCTAACAAACTTGGAAGTTGAAATTTCTTTGAAAATGATTAAGTGTTTCTCCCCCAATTACTTGTGCATGTCTCCATCAAGCAAGTTCCATAAACCTAGGGCATTGCAATTGCTAAATGGTTATTCTACAGTGCTACAACGACAAAACACTAACAGTTTGTTTGGGTTCTTTCTGTCTGGAACTGAAAGTGGTACAAGCTTAAGGACGAGATGTAGTCCGAATTTTGAAGGATGACGTTACCCTTAGGTCTTGGAAAGTTGCCGCTCACCCCTGATTGGAGCATCCTTGTAAGAGCCTTGTTTCAGTTACACTACTGGTTGCTCCTCCTAACTGTCACTACTCAAACTACCTATGCAGTGGCAACACGTAGGGTCTTTCCAAGGAACACTGACACTACTCAAACTGACTATGCAGTGGCAGCTATTAGTGATAAACCTGGAACCCTTTTCCTCAACTCTCATGCATCTGTAAGAAGTTGAAATGATCAAGTAAATTATGCGGGAACATCTTAGGATCCCAACCGACTTATGTAAAACCCTTTTCTCTTGTGATCCATCGGCTCAGGAACCAGCGGTGGATCCAAGAAATATTTTAGGGGGGGGCTGAACAACACTGCTGCTCGATCTTAAGTCTCAGCCTCCCCTACACTATAGAACTTTACCTAAAAATTCATAGGGGCTCTACAGTAATTTGCACTGATTCGGTATGGGTAGGGGGGGCTTGAGCCCCCCCCCCCCCACTGCTGGATCCGCCCTCTGTCAGGAACTATGTGAGATGAATACAAGTCTCTGCAGCCCTTTTTTTTTTTTTTTTTTTTGGGCGAAGAACTGCCTGCCTTTCTATGGCTGAAGACATATATAACCCTGTTTGAAATGTAGGCCATGCTCAAGACATAAGAACGGACCTGTCCACACGATCTTTAATTATCATGTTATGCCATGCTATCAATGCACTCTTAAGGCTTTTGAACCCATTCTATATTAGGATTTCATCTGTAATTTTGGGATCTATTGTCTAGGAGTACTCAACAAAAACCCGTATATTTGAAGTTTTCAACATAGTTGCACTTCCTTCTTTAATTTAAATGACGTGATTTTAGACTTCTATCTCCTGCTCCTTTTAAGCTAGCATAGTAGCTTTCTTTTGTATGAAATTTTGTCTCCCCCAAATTGTCGCTTGACATTTCAATAAAAGGTCGACTTTCTGTAAACAGATGAATGGAAGAACTTCCTTACTCGTATCAACAGGGATGAAAATGCAGCAGACTCTGAGCTTTTTGGCAACCCAAATGACATACTTGAACTACGTCTATGGGCTTCTTATCGTGGGCAGACCTTAGCTCGAACTGGTTTGTTATCCTCTGTATAAACCTATACATATATGGTATATTTGTTGATATGCTCACATTTGCTTTTACTAAATCCTGTTTTTCCATTCGTAGACCTTTTTTTTTTCAAATAGTGAACACTTGTATTTTGGGCTTTTGGCAAGTTTTTATTTCATTGTTGACTCATAAACCACACTCCGTTTGCTATTTGGGTATGGAATAATTTGCACCAACAGCAAAATTTGTGATTAATCTGTGAATGTCCAATGTGAAGGAGAATAGAATTGGTGGGATAATTGGATGTATTGCATTGGGCCTCATGGGCTGATTATATAGGGTACATAGGACTACGTGGGTAGACAATGTGGTACTATTCCTATTTAGAACACAATGGTATACCTATACTTTTGTATTTATAATCTTTCTCTCTAGTGTGTCAAGTCGTGTGCTTGTCAGATGACATCACAAAAGATTAATCTGTTTGGCCTACAAGAATTTCTAAGTGGAACTCATTCCCTCAGTATCTTTGAATATAATCAGTTCACATCAACATTTTTTTTTGTTTTACTCTGCAGTCCGTGGCATGATGTACTATAGGAAAGCCCTTATGCTGCAGAGTTATTTGGAGAGGATACAATCTGAAGGTATCTGCACTGCTTAGCATGTGAGATGCATATATACTATTTTTATCTGAATGGATATCCCCTTTTCCGTTGTTTTCCTTTACTAGATTTGGAATCTACATTAGGGTTGACTAGTTCAGCTGATACACATTTTGAGTTGTCACCTGAGGCGCGTGCACAGGCTGATTTGAAGTTTACATATGTGGTTACCTGCCAAATTTATGGAAAACAGAAGGGGGAAGGGAAACCCGAAGCTGCAGACATAGCCTTACTAATGCAAAGGTACATTTAATTTAATATGCTAGAAATGTCTTTGCTTGTTAGCTCTCTCTTTGTAAAGGACTTAAGGGGCCTGGTTAGTTCTCCGTCCGTCTCTCTCACAGATAAGCACTTGAGCACATGCACATAAACTATTACACTCCGAGGCCTATTTTGCTTTGTTATTTGTTGTGTACACCACCTATAACATTTTGTACTATCTTTGTAGGAATGAAGCTCTTAGAGTTGCTTACATTGACGAAGTCGAGAATGCTAAGAATGGAAAACCCATCACTGAGTATTACTCAAAGCTTGTGAAAGCTGATATTCATGGAAAGGACAAGGTCAGTCATTAGTACCACAAATATAAGCCCTTGAGACATCAGCATAGTCTCCAATATGACACTTTGATTACAAATATATATCTATAACAGTAACTATTTTTTGAAAGTATTTCTTATAACGAGTCCAGTAATGCCAATCTTGTTCTTGTGTCAACATTCTATATGTGATTTTAATTTTAGATATTGATAGTCAAAGGTAGAAAAATGTTTGACTTAGTACAGACCTAGATGGACTTACATTTCTGATCAGAGGAATTAGGTTCTTTGATACCTCTTTTTTCTTTTTGTATAGAGCTACTTGTCTTTCCTTTCTCTAGGGTTTATCATCGTTATACTGTAGCTTGTAAGAGCCATCGTCAATTGCAATATTCTTGGGTTCTAGCTGTTGTTTTTCCATTTCTGTTGCATGTCCCTATTCTTGAGTATTTGAACTTTATATCCTTGTTCGTAACTTCGTATCATGGTTTTGATACTAAGGGGGCATTGGTTGTCCGTTCTAGTTCCATAGTGGGCATGCTCATAAGCCCCCTATGCCAATGTGGTGGCTTTTCAAAAGTACATATTATTATTTTCTACATCTGGATGGCATAGCTAGTTTTAGGGTCTTTTGGCTAGGATCCATAGCAGCAAATTCTTAAACGGAAATAATAAACATTTTTGTAGTGGACTAGATTTTGCTGTGCAGCATGGCAGCTACAAACTGGTCCCAGCAAATTATCTGAAATAGCGCATTCATTCTCATATTCACCCGGTTGAACTTTGTCTTACAGGAAATTTATTCATTAAATTGCCTGGCAATCCAAAAGCTTGGAGAGGAAAACCCGAAAATCAAAATCATGCCATAATATTCACTCGTGGAAATGCAGTGCAAACTATTGATATGAATCAGGTATACAGATGTACTCCTCCCCCCCATTTTCTATTATTTAGTTAATTACTACATCTTTTTTACATTAAATACTTTAGAATGTTCACTTAGGCCCTGTTCGTTTCCCCGGGAAGCACTCCCAGGAAGAATTCCCGGCCGGAATCGTTAGTCAATTTAGGGCTTGTTTGGTTCTTCTGGAACGAGGGCATGGAATAATTCGTAGCTGGATTGCTTCACTAATTTGTATAGTCTTGAGTAACTGGAATTGTTCCTGGGCCAAATCCCAAGGAACCGAACGCACCCTTATATAAGTTTTCATTAGCCGGAATGATTCCTGGTGTCATTTTGCCCAAACCGAACAAGCCCTTAATGATATTTAGTTGTCAGGTAACCTGTCACCAATCTCATTTGAGTTATGTCCAAATAACCCCCCAAACTAACATTTGATTCAATTTACTCGCTCCAACTATTTGAGTTATGTGATGTATTGACTGCCATTTTCATTTGGAAAAAGTCAAAATTACTCACCCCCCCCCTCTCTCAGTTTGGCCTATGTCCAAATAACCCCAGACTAACATTTGATTCAATTTACTCGCTCCAACTATTTTAGTTGGTCTAGTTTACCCCTTAACAGGATTTGTTATTTTTTGTTTCTCCACGTATAAGTTGAATTTTACCTTAATTTTGTGAGGTGATAGAGGACTTCATAAGGTATGTTAGAAAATATACGTTAATTTTTCGCCACTATTTTTATAGCTTAGGAAATTTAGTAATAAATTAACACTAGAGATATAATATCGTGCAAAACATAATGATGAAAAAATCATAATTTATTGTTCTAACACAGGATATTATGTCCTCTTTCACCTCACAAAATTGGAAGCTAAAACACAATTTGTACGCAGAAACAAAAAAGAAAAATCTCTTTAAGGTGTAAACTGGGCCAACTGAAATAGTTAAGAGGGAGTAAATTGAACCAAATGTTAGTTTAGGGGGTTATCTGGACATAGGCCAAACTTGGAGGGTGTAATTTGGACTTTTCGAAATTGCACCCTCTGAATATTGGATCAAATCAAAGTCAGGATCAGTATTACTTCTATAATTTGTATTTTGTGGAGTGCACTACAGCTCTACTGAGGCCAATCTTTTTTCAGTGCAACAATGACAAAAGGATGAAATGAAGACGAATAGATCATTCCATTATTGATACTGTCACTGTTTGACAATTTGACTAACGGTTCAGTTGGAATCATGTATTTGTTTCACCAGTGCTTAGCTGTTTTTTTAGGATAACTACTTCGAGGAGGCACTTAAAATGAGAAACCTACTTGAGGAGTTCTCTCTGAAGCGTGGCAAGCATTACCCTTCAATTCTTGGTGTTAGAGAGCATGTCTTCACGGGAAGGTATTATTCATTCCATTTTCAGTGGTGAAGTTATGCAGATGTTTCTAGAGTAAAACTCAGTTCTAACATCATGGTTCTATAGTGTTTCCTCCCTGGCCTCATTTATGTCTAACCAAGAGACAAGTTTTGTGACATTAGGACAACGTGTTCTGGCTAACCCACTGAAGTAAGTGCTTTTTCATATTTCTGTTTCACATGAGGATCAGCTAAAATTGTGTGTAGTTAATACATGAAACCTTTCCTTTTTTGTAGAGTGAGAATGCACTATGGTCATCCCGATGTTTTTGATAGAATTTTTCATATAACAAGGGGTGGAATTAGTAAGGCCTCCCGCAGCATCAATATCAGTGAGGATATATATGCAGGTTAAACTTGTATTCTTTTTCTGCTTTTCCTCATTCTGAGAGTTATTTTTAGTCTTATTCAGTATTCATACGTACTAGTATTGGCATGTTTCTTAGAATTTTCCCTATGAAAAACTTCAAATTATTTTGGCTTGTCTTTAAGATTATGGTGTGGATCTTACTGATCCATCTATGAACTGCAGGATTCAACTCAACGCTAAGTCAAGGATGCATAACTCATCATGAGTATATTCAGGTTTTAATTCTCTTATCCTTGCTTTTTGAATTTTCATCATCCACATAACTCATTTAAACTTTTCAAAGAAAGCCTAGTTTGTGCTGCTGTGCGTTAATAGAACCGTGCTTTACATCGAGAATCGGTTAAATACAAAATATTGAACCCACATTCTTTCATATACATATGTTTAGAGCATGGATGCATCATTGTCATTTCTCGTGTACCCATGGTAGGCAATACAAGTCGCATGAGGAAGTTAACTACTATGCAGCACGCATATGGATACACTTATCGGTATCGAGCGGATGCTGTATTTTTCCAGAAAACCTAGTACACGGATACATTTTAGATTTTTTTAATATAAATAGTATGACATATTAGAATTCTAAGAACCATAGCAGCCAAAATGAACATTGAAATTGCCTGCAATATTGGTGTTTTTTGCTTTTTCAAATTTCTAATTAGCGAAAAGAAAGGTGAGAACCTAGAAGTAATCAAGTAATGTAGGAGCCATAGTGTAAATGAAGTACTAGCATAGTATCACTAGTACTAGAATTTGTTGGTCATGCCATTTACTCGCGGCTGGGAAAATCATGGGCAACACACAACAGATAACACTAGACAGGAAGGGGAACAAGGAAAATCAACCAACAAGAGCTCAAGAACTGAAGATCAAGACTATATCGAGATTGTACTCTCCCCATTTTGGTCGGGTCTTGACTTTATGTAATAGGTGATTAGGATCAAAAGCTTCTAGTGTTGGGTGGGGGGGTGGGGGTATGCTAGTCAATGCTGCCAGTCAAGAGGGATAACACTTGTCTGAAATCTTATCCAACTGGTCTTACGTGCACTGTTGATTCTACTTGTGCACGTGCAGTGCATATGAGTATATGACACTCGAGCTCTCACTGAACTTATATTAACCCGGAGTTGTTCATTGAGTGAATCAAGTGGTTAAACAAACTTACTGATGACAGACATGTTTACTACTTTTACCACCTTCGGATCTCCATTACTTTCCACTGTACTAACTCAACAGTGGTTGTGCTGCTGTCTTGTGAACATTGTGTTGATATTAAATGTTATCCTGTAGGTTGGCAAAGGTAGGGATGTTGGACTTAATCAGATTGCACTATTTGAAGGAAAAGTTGCTGGTGGAAATGGTGAACAAGTTCTTAGCCGAGACATATATAGACTCGGACAACTTTTTGACTTTTTCAGGATGTTATCCTTCTATGTGACAACTGTTGGATTCTACTTCTGTACTATGGTAATTTAATTTTCCTTGCCTGTTAGGATTTGTCCAGTTGAAACTATTTCCATTTGTAGTGATTGATGTTAGTATTATTTGAAGGCACATAGATAAAATTAAATATACAAAAATTGTTATTACTGTTATGCTTCTAGTTTTAATCTCATTGTTCTTTTGCAGCTAACTGTGCTGACGGTGTACATATTTCTCTATGGGAAAACGTATCTGGTAAGATGGTGGTATCCATTTGATTTTTCTAATTTTCTCTTTTTCCACCTTTTTGGATGACTTGAGATGTACTCCCTCCTTTTGAAATTGTACGTCGTTCTAGTTTTTCTAGATACATAGTTTTTACTATGCATCAAGACAATGTATGGAGGAAAACCCTATTTTACACTAGAAAAACTTCTTCCCTATTTGATACCGAAACTTAAAATCTTCCCTATCTGTCACCTATTTCATCTTTTGTTTCCTATTTGACACTTGTGTCACTTTTTTGCTGTAACAGCATTAAGTCCAAGGCGAAAAGACCATCTTGCCCCTCCTGTCTGTTTTCATGCGTGCTGTGTTCATGTTGCTGCATATTTTTTTGTCTCGTTTATTTATTTGCAGATGTTTTTTCTCAGTACGCCTGAACACAGCATGCCTTAAAAATCACATAGGAGGGGCAATATGGTCTTTTGGCTTTGGACTTAATGCCGTTACAGCCAAAAAGTTATGGAAGTGTCAAATTGGGAACAAAAGATGAAATAGGTGACAGATAGGGAAGATTTTAAGTTTCGGTGTCAAATAGGGAAGGAGAAGTTTTTCTATTGTCAAGTAAGGAATTTTCTTGTATGTATATCTAGGTGTGTAGCAAAAGCTAGCCATAACGACTTACAATTTGGAATGGAGAGAGTACTTGGCTAGATATTATGGTGCAAGAGTACTTCCTCAATAGTTTTGCATTGACTTAGCATGAAAGGCTTCTGCAGTCACATGTTCATGTGACATAAGTTTCTTGCATTTTTTGGCCTTGGTTTCTATCAGTTCTTTTCTGCATGCATTATCTGGTTTCTTCCATAGTTGTCCTGACATACTCTTTTTTTACCGTGTGTTTGCTTAGGCCTTATCTGGTGTTGGAGAATCAATTCAAAATAGAGCGGATATACTGTCGAACACAGCCTTGGATGCTGCTCTGAACACTCAATTTCTTTTCCAGATTGGTGCATTTACTGCAGTTCCCATGATTCTTGGTTTCATCCTTGAATCAGGTGTCTTAACGGTATTCCCTTTTCCCTGCTGGCTTCTGGCTTAGCCTGTGAATTCTGTAGAAGTATTTATGGTTGGTTACTTTTGTCTATGATACTGCCTGTAGTCATAAAGACTTGACATTTTTTACTGTCTTCCAATCTTTTCAAACCTTGACTTTCAATAACTTACTAAAAAATATTTTACAAACATAAAAATCATGTGTATATATATTTTCTAAAAGGTACTTTCTTGACTTCATAAAATTATTATATTTTTTAATATGGTGTAACAGAAAATCATGTTTGCTTAGGCCTTATCTGGTCAAAGTTGTAAATGATAGACCAGAAGAAGTCAAAAGCATCAAGTATTTTTTTAGTTGAGGAACTATATTTCTTACAATCCCAATCGTTGTACCATCACCGGTGATGATTGGTTACATAAATTAGTTATTTTTCCTGACTACTATGTGGAACATTATCACTATTTTTCAGCTTGTTTCACAAATCACAGTCGCCATTTCTAAAATTTCCCCAAGAGTGATAACAAATGTCCTTATTTGTTAATGCGTATATGCAGGCTTTTGTTCAATTTATTACAATGCAGTTCCAACTATGCTCTGTATTTTTCACTTTCTCACTTGGAACAAGGACCCACTACTTTGGCCGTGCAATATTACATGGAGGTGCAAAGGTAGGCTTTTTGTTACTAAGTGTTGCTTATCAGTTTCTAAATGTCTGAACACTGATCTGATTCTTTTTTTTTTAATATTACCAGTATAGAGCAACTGGTAGAGGTTTTGTGGTACGACATATCAAATTTGCTGAGAACTACCGTATTTATGCTCGAAGCCATTTTGTGAAAGGGTTTGTTATCACGTGAAGCTATTTTCAAAGTTGCTTGTGGAATTTTTCTAGTACAATACCATTTGTGTTGATTGTGCTTGGTTTTTGTAGGATGGAGGTTGCACTTTTGTTGGTTATCTTCCTAGCATATGGGTTTAACAATGGTGGAGCAGTTGGCTATATTTTACTCTCTATAAGCAGTTGGTTTATGGCATTGTCTTGGCTTTTTGCTCCCTACTTATTTAACCCATCTGGATTTGAATGGCAGAAGTAAGCAACTAAGCATTTTGTGTATCTATGTACTGTAAGCTCAAATTGTCATTATGAACATTATATTTCAAACCCTTCACCCTCTTAGGATCGTCGAGGATTTCAGAGACTGGACAAATTGGCTGTTTTATCGAGGTGGTATTGGTGTTAAAGGAGAAGAAAGCTGGGAAGCTTGGTGGGAAGAAGAACTGGTAATTGAATTTGACCTGTATTCACTTTAGCCAAAATGTGCTGTATTGTTTGTTGACTGGACGTAGTACTATTGCACCTGATTAGCCTACTCGTGTTTCTTATGGTTTTGAAGCTCTTGCATTTTTTTAGATAATGTTTAAAACTCTTGCATAGCTTTAAAGTTGGATGCTTGCTATATTGTCAACTACATCTGCTACAATGATGTAATCCTTATTGTTGGTGCTTATCTATTCTTCAGATATAACATGTCTGAATGAAGAACAATAAGTCATTAAGACACATGCATACTTGGAAGCTTCTGACATTTACCATTGGAAAATGTTGGATTTTTTTCTCACTTTTGTTCATGGGATCTATAACTCCTCATTTTGGAACACTTCGTTTCAGCAACATATTTACAGCATTCGAGGGAGGATACTGGAAACCATACTAAGCCTGAGGTTTTTCGTCTTCCAATACGGAGTTGTTTACCACATGAATGCCAGCGGAGAAAGTACAGCTTTATCGGTATGTTAGTGTTTCAGTTCACATTTGCTTGTAGTGCTCTATTGTCAAAATAATAGTCGTAAATTAATCCTTGGCACTGCAGGTGTATTGGATTTCTTGGGCTGTGCTTGGTGGCCTTTTCATCCTCCTCTTGGTAATATATTTCTTTGTTGTTACATTTGGCATCTGCTGAGCAGGGCACTCATTATGTTAATTTGTATTACTGTGCAGGTCTTTGGTTTAAACCCCAAGGCCATGGTACATTTCCAATTGTTCCTGCGTCTGGTCAAAAGTATAGTGTTATTGATGGTTTTGGCTGGTCTGGTCCTGGCAATTTTGTTTACGGAACTCAGTATCGGAGATGTTTTTGCTTCCATTCTAGCATTTGTGCCAACTGGGTGGGGAATCATTTCGGTGAGCTTCTAATGCCAACTTTTTTTGACCGTATGTTGATTTGCCTTTTATTTTGGTTCATTCTGCAAACACTTCACAGTTATATTCATATATATTTCTGTTCACTGCATTAGCTTTCCTCTTGACCAGTTAATTATTCTCATCGTTTTCATTTCTCTTTTGTACTCGACATTGTAAATGTTGGCTGAAATTTTACTATTCGTCTTTTTTTTTCACAGATTGCCATGGCATGGAAACCTATCGTGAAGAAATTGGGTTTGTGGAAAACTGTCCGTGCCCTAGCTCGCCTCTATGATGCTGGCACGGGGATGATCATTTTCATACCCATAGCCATTTGCTCGTGGTTTCCATTCATATCCACTTTCCAGACGCGGCTTCTGTTCAACCAGGCGTTCAGCAGAGGTTTGGAGATATCTCTCATCCTTGCTGGCAACAATCCAAATGCTGGGATGTGATGGTGGCAGTTCCGGTCTTGCTTCATCAATCTGACTGTGGACCTTTCTTACTTTAATTAATCCTCAGTTCTTAGTTAAGAGTAGCGATGTACATATCTGATATCTCCATGTTCACCGGCAGTTGTTTGCCGTGGGTATAAATGTCAACGGCAATATTTCTAGAGTTAGCTTGTATCTGTATTTGTTGAGCGGGTGGACTTTGTATGCCGCATCTTATTTTTTACATTGATATATGTGCTGATTGCATCAACTGGCTTTATTATCTTTGTCCATTCCGCTAATGTGACATGTAGGAGTTTGACATGAACAGTGGTTAGTCCTTTTCTCCCATTTTTAACTTGTGTGTTGTTGAACTTTAAATTCAATCGGGGTTGAACGCAATTGTTTTTTATTTGTTATACGAAGTTCATGTGTTGGTTTTAAAACTCATGCACACGCACCACAATTCTTATCTCTATGTTTTCTATATTTATCCTACCCGTTTTCTATTTGTGGAAAAATAGCTGCCAAAAGATTTTGGGCTCCGGCTACATGTAGCAAGCTAAAAACGGCTCTGGCTCTAGCACAAAACATGAAAAGAGAAGCTGTCAAACACTCTGTTCGTAGTCAGGCTTATTCAATTAGCCAACAATATTTTTCTCTTAAAAAAAAATCAGCATCAGTCATCCTAAACCAGCACCAACCAGCGAACAGGTGAAAGTCATAAATTTGGGCTTCGGTACGGTGGCGAGGCCGGAGCCCCTCCAAACACGTCCTATGAATTTCGAAAGTTATCCTTGGAACGGCCTCAAGAATGCTCATGAGGCTTTAACAAAGTTCTGCATAGGCATACTAAGCCATATCATGATCCTAGTTTGAGTTTTCGGTTCTTCGTCTGTATTTTTTTTTTGTTGATATTTATGTATATTCTGTTTTCGTGCCTGGTTATTCTGATGCCGGTCTCATTTCGAATCGAATGATTAAATAAGAGGTTCTTACTTCTACTTTCACATTATATTTGACAAGTCAGGATTTTACATTTATCTATTGATGAATGATATTTTCCTTTTTCTTTTTTTAAACAAATACCCCCTCTATTTTAGTTTTAAATTATAAAACACTTTGAATTTTTAGATACATATTTTTTTATACTATACTAAATATCTAGTAAAAACAATATATTTAAAAAAAATAAAATATCTTATAATTTAGAACGGATAGATTATGAGAAGTGGAAGGGAAAGTTACTATCGGTGTTTCGAGTAAACACCAACGAGTAAATTTATGTTATTGTGCGTCTGGCTCGGATGGAGTGCTAAAAAGACACGAGGTTTATACTGGTTCGGGCAGAATGTCCCTACATCTAGTTCGTGGTTGATGCTCATGTTATTAGCACTGAAAAGTTCATAGTAGGGATTACAAACGGACGAGAGAGGGACATGTTCCAGGTCTCTGATGGAAAGGTCGAATGGGTGCTGAGAGCTTGTCCCTGCTCAGCTATGTGTTCGAGGTTAGTCGTTCTGCTGTGATGCGGCGTAATGCGTGATGTGATGAATTGATCCCTTTAGTGGGGTTTCCTGCTTTCCATTTTATAGGCCAAGGGAGAGCACGGGTTACAAATGGGAGAAAAAAGAAAAACGAGAGGCAAAGGAAGTCCTTCAAGGATGTCGGGTCTTCCTTTTCCTCTGTGCGGGCCCCACTGACATGGCAGACGGTGACAGGGACAGCCCCACGTCGGGCGCATGTCTGCTGACCCTGATAGGGCCGCGCTGGGCGTCTGTCCGCTGACGATGCCATGTCCTGGCATTGTCAGAGGGCTGTCACGTCCCATCCCACCCCGACGGACGACGCGGCGGACCACGGTGCTGATCAGCGGCTATACAGGGAGCAGGCAACACAGTGACCGCACGTCCGCTACTGTGGATGATGCGAGTTTCCTTCTGGACCGTAGTGGTTGTTGTGAGCTTCCGTAAGGATCCGTGCCCAAGGGTAAATGACGGCGCCCACAACACTGTGAGGCAAATGTCGGCGCCTACAACACTGTTTGGGCTCTGACATGCCTCGAAGGTCGCAAAGCACCCTTCTAGCATGGCCTGATGGTACTATCCTGCAGGTGTGCAGGTTACGATCTTCGGTATTGCGGTTGACTTTGAGCGCCTTGCCTTATCTGCTGCGCACGTTGTTGTCAAGGCGTCGCGTGCAGACGTCAGGCGAGGCGGAGTCAGCCCTCAGACATCAGACGAGGTGGAGCCAACCCTCAGACGTCAGGCGAGGCGAAGCCATCCCTCAGACATCGGGCGAGGCGAAGCCAATGCTCAGTCGTCGGGCGAGGCGGAGCCAGCCCTCGATGGTCAGGCGAGGCGGAGCTAGCCCTCAGACGCCGGGCGAGGTGGAGCCAGCCCTCGGTGGTCTGCCGAGGCGGAGCCAGCCCTCAGATGTCGGGTGAGGCGGAGCCAGCCCATGGTGGTCGGGCGAGGTGAACCCAGCCCTCAGACGTCGGGCGAGGCAAAGCCAGCCCTCGGACGTCGAGCGAGGCAGAGACAGCCCTCGAGAGTCAGCCGAGGGAGAGCCAACCCTCGGGGGTCGGGCAAGATGGGGCCCATGGCCGCAGCGCCCATCGAGGTGGAGCCAACCCTCGGGGGTCAGACGAGGCAGGGCCCATGGCCTCGGTGGCTGGACGAGACGGGACCCGACAAGCGGTGTAGTCGCGCTCTTGATCGCGCGGATGAATCAACGTTGATGGTCATTAGCCCCTCCTCTTTTGGTACCCTAGTTTTGGTCCCCGACAATAGCCCCCGAGCCCCTAGATGTTTCGAGTAGAATCGCCTGGGGGATTTTTTGACCTGCCAGCGGGTGCGCGCGAGCGCACCCGGTGGGTGTAGCCCCCGAGCCTACGGAGGAGTAGAATACTCCTTCGGAGGTTTTTCCAAAAAAGGGGACTCTGAGGGCCCTGACCCTTTATTGTTGCCCACGACGTGTCTTGAAGACAGTGATTCCTTTTTGCCGAGGTCGGACCCTTTGCGGGTATGGTCGTGAGATTTGGTGGTTGTTTAGCTGGATAGTTTGATTGGGGTCCCGGTATCCCATTCGCGGAGATCTGGCCAGGGTAAGCCTGGCTGAGACTATCGTGGGCCGAGAAGCCTATGGCGCTCGTGCGCCTAGGCGCTGGCCGCTTGCGGGGCCTAGCTGTAGGGTGAAGATGGCGGACTAGAGGGGGGTGAATAGTCCTTTCTAAAATTAATCGCGTCGGCTAACCGAAACAAGTACGGAATTAAAACTATCGGTTTAGCCAAAACTACACCCCTCTATCTATGTTCTATAACACCTTCCAAAGATACTAATTAAGCAATAAAGGTGCCGAGCTAACTAGAGCTCACCTAACCAATTCTAGGAGCAAGGTTACACAAACCTATGCCACTAGTATTTCAAGCAATGAGGGAGCTCCTACACATGCTAGTAAGCAAAAGCACAAAGCCAACTAAGCTCACTAGCAATGCTCAATAACAAGGCAACCAATGCCAAATTAGAGAGCGCAAATACTTAGCTACACAAACTAAGCAAAGTGACTAACAAGGTTACACAAACCAAATTAGCCATGCAAGAGAGCTACTTCTATGCTACACAAGCAAGAAGGTAACTAGTGAGCTACACAAGCTAACTAATTACAAGAGCAACTACACAAGCATAATGTATATAAAAGTAATCACAAGCTTGTGTAAGGGGATTGCAAACCAATGGGAAGAATAAGGTTAACACGGTGATTTTCTCCCGAGGTTCACGTGCTTGCCAACACGCTACGTCCCCGTTGTGTCGACCGCTCACTTGGTGGTTCGGCGGCTAATTGGCATCACCCGCCAAGCCCGCACATCGGGCACCGCAAGAACCTACCCCCGAAAGTGAGGGTAGCTCAATGACACGCTCAACTAGAGTTGCTCTTCGTGGCTCCCGCGGGGCGAGCACAATGCCCCTCACAAAGCTCTTCTCCAGAGCACCGCACAATCTTCTTGCGGGCTTCGACGGAGACCACCACCAAGCCATCTAGGAGGAGGCAACCTCCAAGAGTAACAAGCACCACCGGCTTGCAACTCGATCACCTAGTGCCACTCGATGCAATCTCACAATGCAACGCACTAGAATCACACTCACTCGTAATTGATTCGCACTCTTACAAGCACAAGTGAGTTAGAGGGCATCCAAGCACTCCTACACAAGCCACATAGGCGTGAGGGTGCTAAGCAACCAGCCCAAGGCCGGCCACACACTCCTTTTATAGCCCTAAGGGCTAAAATAGCCGTTACCCCTTCACTGGGCAAAGTGCGTACTGACCGAACGCGTAGGTCATAATGACCGGACGCTTGAACCCAGCGTCCGGTCACTTACAGAGAGGTTCCAGCGACGTTTTTCAGCGACCGGACGCGTCCGGTCATCACTGACCGGACTCTCCTAGCATTCGATCGCTTCTGGACACGTTAAAAACACTGACCGGACGCTATGACCGAACTCACAGGTGCTGACCGGACACAGACCCTGAGCGTCCGATCATTTTTTGCGCCAGCGTCCTGTCACAGATCTTTTAGCGCTAAAACAGCTATAACTCTTAGCTCCGAACTCTGATTTCGATGATCTTAGACATTTTGGAAAGCTTACTCAGAGGGCTACACATCCCATATGCATATTTGATCCAAATCACAATGGATCAAAACAGTATTCCAATCCAAGGACCATCCTATAGTTCGGAGTACACCGAAAACCCTTTTTCTCTTCTCTAAGTTGATTCACAACAACTCTAACTTCTCCTTTGTAAATGTGCCAACACCACCAAGTGTGCACCACCATGTGTATGTGTGTTAGCTTTTCACAAATATTTTCCAAAGGATTAGCCACTCAACTTGCCACGCCACTCGATCCTAGCGATGATGCAAAGTTAGATCACTCGAGTGGCACTAGATGACCGATATGCAAATAAGTTTACCCCTCTTGATAGTACGGCGATCTATCCTAAATCCGGTCATCAACTTTTC